GAGATTATAGTTTTTCTACTTAGTAAGATTACGATACTTATTATTTAGAGAATTCTATTTGTATTTAATAAGTAGAGCGAGATAAAGAGCTTCGAGGTACGGTAGAATAGCTGAAAGATACTCGGATTCTCTATGAATATAATACTATTCTAAAGCTATATGACGATATTATCGATATCGTTATTATGAGTAAAGATGAGAACGATGAGAATAAGGACAACGAGGATGAGGATAACGACGGGATACGTCATGAGCAGTTACTTGACGCTTTTGAGGATATATACTCTTGGGTGTAGAGCGAGTCTCGCTTAGCCTTCTTAGAACGATTGGTATTTGATCGTAACACATATGTCTACTCGGCAATATCTACTGTAATTTGTTACGGTGATTATAAGGCTGTAGAGAATCTTATATATTCTGAGATTAACCGACGATGTAATCTATTTCTTAGATATCGTTATGGGGAGGATTCGGAGAATTAATTAAATGCAGTACCGTAAACATGTTCAATTGTAGCGATGTTCTCAGTGTTCCCACAATGCTTGGCTAGCTTTTCACTACTGGGTAGCCCGCGCCCCAGCACATATTTCATAGGCCTTTACTCGTTACTTTTTAATAAGATAAGAGTTTCTTAGAATAGTCTCACAGCGAGGCTTAGCACAGAAGTGATTTTATTCTTAAGCCAGGGAGAAAGCAAGCTTTCCAATTAATCGAGGGTGAGTGTGATGAAAACCTGGCGAGGAATATGTTTCTAGCGGTCTAAGTAGATTGCTTGATATTCCGCTAAATGAGGCCTTACTGGTTCAAAATACAGAGGCTGGCGCACATTTCTTATGGCTTGGCGCCGCTACCGCCCCTACATCCTCTCGCTCAAAGAGGAAGGTGCGCAATGATAAAGAACGGTACCAACGGTCTTGATAGCGTCCACCATCAGACAACGAAGCGTTCATGGTGCCGAATATGACAGGCATTGAGAGGTCTCGCGAGGCGGGATGACTTCATCCGCACCCTCCTCTACCGTCGGGAACGCCAATCAGGCATGCGAATGTCGAGCAGCTTGATGCCGTTCATTCAGAGCCAGATACCGGTATCTGGCAAATCGGCTGCCCGCTCAAAGAGCATGGATAACCTACATATTCCGATTACTCCTGCGCTCTCCCACTCATCACCACCATGTCTACCACTAGAATGTCACTCGAGCGAGAGAAGCCCGACCCTTTCGCATCTCTTGACGGCCGGAAAGCATCAGTGGCCATTGAAGACGGCACCGTCACAGTCATATCGCTCGAAGATGCGGACGAAGCACTGTCCTTCTTGGAGAATCACCCTCAGTCCCTGGAGATCGCAGAATCTGGCAATGCGATTCTGGAGGACCCCGTTCAGTTGAAGAAGTTGGTCAGGAAGATCGATCTTACAATCGCTCCACTGCTGGCGGCCGTATACTTCCTCCAGTTCCTGGACAAGACCACGTTATCCTACACGGCTGTCATGGGGATACGGACGGACACACACCTGAAGGGGCAGGATTATTCGGATTTGTCTATGCTGTTTTACATCGGTATGCAAGAACTGCCAAGTTTGTGTCTCTGCATGGGGGCCGGCAATCTGGGCACGAGGGACTGATCATTGATCGACGACGCAGGCTTTCTGGTGGCAGAGTTCCCTACGCAATACCTGGCACAGCATATATCACGATTGGGATTGTATCTGGGCATAAACATCATGATATGGGGGCTCATCCTGGGTTTTCATGCTGCATGTACGACATTTGCAGGGCTGGCAATTGTTAGGACTCTACTGGGTATATTTGAGAGCTGGTATGTGCTGTCTGAGGATAAGCGTTCTTGTCTAGAACGGACGCTGAATATCAGAACAGTGTTGCCCCGATTCTGATATTGATCATTGCAATGTGGTATAAGAAGGAAGAGCAAGGCCGACGCGTGTCTTGGTTCTATGTCTGTAACGCCCTCACTCAAATCTTTGGTGGCTTCGTCGCCTATGGAGTTAGCTTTGCCAACACGAGGTTCGCGAGCTGGAGGATCTTCTACATTGCCATTGGGGCTTTGACCATGGTCATTGGGCTATTGGTCGCCCTGTTTTTGCCAGACTCGCCCGTCAAGGCAAAAAGATTCACCGATGCCGAGAAAGTTGCTGCGTTGCTGCGAGTCAAAGACAATCAGAGGTATGTTGGGGACTACACATTGCAGAGGACAGGACTTGGCTGACTCGGTACAAGTGGGACACAAAACGCTCGCATCAAGAGAGACCAGGTCTTCGAGACTTTCAGAGACTCTCGAGTATGGCTGATTTGCCTCGCTACCATGCTAAGCTCCATTCCTAACGGCGGACTTTCCAACTTTTCGAGTATCCTCCTGACCACCTTTGGCTACACATCTCAGCAAGCACTCATCCTCAATACCCCCAGTGGCGCGATTGGTGCAGTCTGTGTGCTGCTAGTGGGCTACCTATCCGACAAGTGGGGAGACAGATCAGTGGTTATGCTGATTTGCATCCTTCCAACCATACTGGGTGCGGGTCTGATGATAGGTCTTGATCCTAACGGGATCCCTAAGAACAAGGCGGGCCTTCTTGCTGCATCCTTTCTTACGGGAACCTTTGGAGCCGCATTCATGCTGTTGTTGGCTTGGAACGCATCGAATATCGCAGGTCACTCCAAGAAAGTCACCGCCAACGCCCTGACATTGATAGCCTTCTGTGTGGGGAATATATTGGGAACACAGACATTCCAAGCGAAGCAGGCGCCTGGATATATCTCTGGCAAGATCAGCATCATTGCTACCTTATCGGCGCTGTGTTTTGTGGTTGTAGTAATGAGGGTGTGGAATGACTGGCTGAACAGGAAGAATCAGAGAGAACTGGCGGGTATGAGTGAGGAGGTGAAGACGGTCTTGAAAGACAAGATGGCCTATGCCGACCAGACTGATCGGAACAACGTCTTCTTTGTGTATACGCACTAGGTGCCTCTATATAAGGCCTCTGAGAAGGGCGGTGAGTTGGACTGTATAAAGGTTGTACGAATGCCAAGTACTGCGCACAGATAATTGCTATTCGCTCCAAAATCCATCTTCACAGTATCAGTACTTACAACATAGCTTCTGTTCAAGTGTTTCAGACGGAACGATTGCTTGCCTCAAACTCTCCGGGACCCCGTCCCGTACGCAGTACTAAATCGGGTGACTGGCCGTACGAGTTTCATCTTTTGGTTAATCAAAACCTTTTTTTGGTATGCTCTACCCAGGTCTGAGCACTGGTGTCATAGTCTCACTGATGTTCATATGCCCTTTGTTTCCTTCCTGCTCTTTCGGTTTCTACGTCGCCATAAGATTAGGAGACTGCAAGAATCCGGAGAACCTGTCACCAAAAACTCCAGTCACGAGCAATCTAAAGCCACGACGCTCGAAAAAATACGTGTGGAAGTTCTGCAACATGTAGCAAGCTTCCTCATCCCTGACTCAGCGACCTACTTGGACCCCTTGTAGTAAATCACTACGTTGGGCAATTGGGCATCGGAGCTGGTTCGCATTACGTACCAACGACCACAAAAGAGTCAAATCAGACTTCTTGATGTGATTGCAAAGAAATTGGCGCGAGTGGTCAGTATGCTGTCAATATGTAAATGTCTATCATTCGAGTTTAAAACCAGATTCGGATACAAGATGGGACTTCAGGCGCGAGCTTCAGTGCATTCAGGCTGATGGCGTTGTTTACCTCATGCCTCTGTTCAGTTTACGATTCCGATCTGCTCAGGTGATCACGAGGTCACAGAAAACCACAGCCATCTCTCGCTGACTAGTCCGTGAGCTTGCTCTCATACCACGCGACTATTTTGAGATATCCGGGTCCCGGACCAAAGCAATGAGCGCATCTGGTAGCTTCTGCTTGTCGGCTGTCTCAGACCGGTCTGCTCTCACGCGCATGGCGGATTGCCGTGCAAAGGCGGATGTCATTGTATATCCCATTTCCAAGCTCGATAGCTCCAACTTGTAAAGGCTTCACACACCCCCCACGAATGTATTTGCCAAGTCTGAAGACTTCTGGCGCCGCACCCAGATCGGGTCTGGGTTCAAGGAGCCCCGCTCGGACGCGGGTGGCGTTGTGGGGCAGGGGAGGCAGTACTAGGGGACTACGGTTGGAGAGAATGGCAAAATCGTCAAGAGAGATGCAACCCCAGCGAGGGCTGGGCCTGAAGATCGCCATATCGGCGGTGCATGGGGTAGAGGTCAGAGCATTCTCCCAGATGGAGCTACTTCCTCTGCCACGGTGGCAGTCATAGTCAACAGCCGGTGTTTGGGACTGCAATTGCACGTAATAGAATCATAGATGTGTGACCAATCGAGACTGAGTCAAAGGTCGAGTCGGGTTCCGGAGTGGAGACGCAATCCAAGACGGATTTTTCAGGACTAGACTGCATGTTAATAACGGGTTCGGATGGGCGAGGTGTTCATCGTTTGGAGGTCGAGAGGACTTTGGCGTGAGCAAATTGCAGCTTGAGACTGGTAATTTGCGGTGCGTATACCGGTAGTGGCCAAGTGAATGTTGGTTTTCGATTAGGTTAGAGCATTTGCGTGGATTTGAGATGCCAGAAAAGTGGAATTTCACTTGAGCCATGAAGCCATATGAGGTACTATGGGCCCTGAAAACAACTCTCTCCTGGATGGGCGTATATAGCTGGGTGCATTTCCATCTGTGTGCAGTTCTGTTGACGTTCTAATTCAGTTCAATCAATTGCCCTACTCGTAGCCCTAGCCCTAGGACAGTAACAACCTGGTTAACAAGAACGCACCTTACCATCCATCTGCTGTTCCCCAGGCAGGAGTCGCCATCCGTAAATCTTGGAGGGTCAAAAATCAAAATGCTGAAGGTACTGAAGATGTTGATACCTTACTTGGGGAAGGTGAGACTCTGGAGAGGTCCCGCCCCCCCAGCTTCACCAGATTGACTCCACCTGTCTACTTCAGCTTCACCACAGGCTACAAGCCATGCATTGGAGCAAAACGCCCATACCGGGGGTCTCTCTCGATGCCACCGGCTTGATAGCCCTAGCCGATCTTAAAACTATTGCTAAGCACACTGCTCTGAACGGCACCTCCAGCATTGTCGACTTCCTCGTGCTTTGCCCTGGAATCCACACGCAACCGAATGCTACCGAGCTCAATGGAGGCGAACTCCCTCCGACCGCCGCCCTCACCTCTGGACATGTTTTCCGAGTTGAGAACCAGGCTACTGTGTTCTATCTACAAAAGATGGGAATCCCAGGACAGTTGGTAACAATGAGCGTCGAGGGACTCCCAGAGCCAAAGAGATGGAAGCCGGATCTCAAGACTATCAAAAGCACTTTGACCCCCTCTTTCGTGTGCTACATCACACCAGTATCTCTCACATTGCTCGCCCTGATGTTCGTGAGCTTTTTGAACGACTGGTGGGCCTTGGCCGTTCTCCTGATCTTGATACTCGCGCGTACTTTGAATGCCATCGTTGTCCGGCGACGGAGCGCACCTGGCTGGAAAGGCGTGAAGGAACCGGGTGTGAAGGGCGACTTGCTAATCCTGTTGAGTCAAGATCGCTGGGTACGACTACAAGGTCCCGTTGACGCTCTCAAGGCAGTGACTGCTGGACAATGGCTGCGTGATGCGACTTTTCTGGAGAGCTCGCTCACAGCTATCGCACTTTTGTTGATCTACATCAACGCTGCTGTCACAACCAACGCAAGCCAAGCCGGTAATATGATCATCCTGGCGCTGCTACTGCTCTCCGTTGGCCTGGTGGCGATGAGCAACCAGTGGCAAGATTCATTATATATGCATGGCTGCAAAGTTCAGGTCGACGGCGAACCCAAGCAGTACGCCAGGCGGCTGGATCTTGCGGATGAATTGATCAGCTCCACAGGACGAGACGACTGGGCTATACGTTTGGGATTGATCAATGAGAAGGCTGAAGCTGCAACAAATACAGTCAAAAGGGTCCTATTATAGTGATCTGGCGGCCAATGAGCTTTCAAGTTCGGCCTCTTTTCGCGATGCGTTCTTCATAGAGGAAATCAAACCCTCCAATGACGTATCACCAATACGTATAGTGAGCATATGGCCGTGTTTGGACCTTTTTACACGTCATGCTCCACTCTACTGCCGCATAGCACGTTGTGAGAGCACCGAGCGAGAGACATGCATCGAGTGGGCGATTAGGCATCCGAAAATAACATAAGTTCATTTCCCATTGAGGGTCTTAATTGAAACGGTTCTTCCTAATTAGAATTCTTGAACACGAACTGTATATGTTTTCATTTGATAACCACAAAAGTATGTGAACCAACAGTGGAAGAATGGAGCTATTGGGACTGCTGATTGGTTTTTTTTTTCAATTGCTCGTTGGAATTTGATATTCTCTGTACGCATGACTTTTGCTACGTCCTCTTACCTCGCAGACGATGAGGCTAATGCTTCTTGTAACATGCTATGGCAGCGACAAACAACTGAGTTTCCCAGTTGGGAAGGCACAATCTCCTGAGCGTTTGATACCTCTTGTTGGGTGCATTGGTCTGTACTTTCTTCATCTTATTGAAGAATCTAGACCTTACAGCCTAGGTAGGATTGCAGAATTGTCATCTATTGACCCGCAGGGGATCATGCTTTCAGATTTCAATCGCCAAGTGTCTTTCAGTATGGCCACACTCACAGATCATGATGAATCAGTTGTATGGCTCTATGGCCATGACCATCTCAATAAATAGGGACAAGGTCGAGAGAGAAGGTTAGTCTTCTACACTGGAGAACGCAGCTATGAGGTGATGCGACCTCTGCCAGCATTCTCTGCCGAGAAGTCTCGGAAACCAACCTCCCCCCCCGCCCAAGTTGGGTCCGTGTCTGGTCCTTGGTCTACGATTTTTCAAGAACCTAGTCATGAACACAGGAGGCCGCTTATTTTTGAAACAGGCGAGAAAAAACACTGTATCAATTCTGTAGAGAGATTCCATTGGTCAGGATTGGTAGCAAACTGACTGCTGCCACATGTCCACTTGCGCTTCACCCCTTCTGCAATTTAGACGAACACCGAGTCTGCACGCAGACGCCCCGCTGCGGCATATCATCGTGGCTGCCCCGGACGTCAACTGCTTGCGAGGAAAGTCTTTTCAAACTGCTGCAAGAAGGGGGTCCATAGAGTTACTGGAACTCCTTGTAAGGAGCGCGCCCCAGCCTTCGTCGCTTTCCTCAGCAGTGGCCGTCGCTATGAGACTCGTGGACTCTCGCCTAAGAATGAACTTTATGGTAATACTCCTGGACCACGGAGCAAAAGGTCCTGCAGTCGACCAGGCTTTGACCGAGGCCATTGGGGAGACGCCTCTGGACGAGGACTTGGTACTGTACTTCGTGAACAAAGCCAACGATGACCATCACCAAGGGCAAGCTCTGTACAATGCGGTCAAGTGTGCTAACAAAAACATCGTTGCATCTGTCATCAATCTGGTCATCCAAATCACAGGTCTCGCCTGGCGGCTCCAACAATTGCGCTCGAGCCTGCGACCGGAGACAGACTGGCAAAGCTTGACTTGCTGCTTCGAGCTGGAATTGAGCAGGAGGGTCGCGACAAGGCCCTGGTGCAAGAGATCAGCAACGAGTCTCACAGCGACATGGATATCATCGAAAGGCTTCTAGATCGTGGGGCAAGCTGCAACTATGATAGTGGAAAGTCGTTGGAACTTGCGGTCAGCTTACGAAACAATCAATTGCGCAGATGTCTTATCGACAGTAAATGAGAGAGTGCTATATTAGCAAGAATGTTGCCCTTTGCTATGCATAATCCAGACATGAATACGAGATATGCATGCATGGCTCTACTTCTTATTGGCGGTGCGACGGGTGATCAGGTCAGTGGTGCATTGGTCCATGAAGTTTGTAGCTCTCAGGAATGCGATCCTCAACTTGTCAAGCTGTTGATTGACCATGGTGCAAGATTCAATTACTCAGAGGACAAGTTATCAAACACGTCGTCTCAACGCCCACCGAGAATGAAGTCTTGAAACTCCTTTTGGAAGGTAACGGAGCATCACTGGTCCTGGCATCGCTTATTCCTCTTGCCATGAATCACGCACAAGAGTCTAGGCTGCAAATACTTCAAACGCTCCTCGTCTTCGGTGCGGGAGGGGCACAAGTCCATGTTGCACTGATAGACGCAGTGAAACAGGGACCACATGCACAGCCAACCATCGACATGCTGTTGCGATATCATGCTTCTGTTAACTACCAAAGTGGTGAAATCATAAGGATCGCCGCCGCGGCAGGTCAATTCGTCCATCTTAGACTGTCTGCTCCAGAGGAATCCCAACTCCGAGTATCTGCCCGAGGCTCTCAGTCTTGCAATGAAGACGCCAGCCGTGCAGACTGGCACAAACATCCCGGTTCGATTCAATTCTGTGCGGCTGCTCACTCGTGTTGGGATTACCAAGTCAGAAGTCATACATCGTGCGCTAATACGAGCGGTTCTTGATAAGGACCATGCCCTTGTCGAACATCTCATCAAGAGCGGTGGGGATCCGAATTTTCGGAGTTGTGAATCCGTGGTCAAGGCAACAGAGCAAGCTGATATCGAGTCGCTTATACTAGTGACAAGATCCAAAGTCTCGCACACGGTCTTCTTCGCGGCTTTCGCGGCGAAGTCAACTTCTATTGATAGATGGCAAAGCAAACCCGACTTGCTGCTCAATATTGACAAGATCCTCCTCGAGGGAGGGGCCGCTGGTCCTGCGGTTGATTAGGCCTTTCTCACTGCTTTGAAATCCTTCGATCCTACTTGTAATGTATTCGTTGATATGGTCATTGCACGGCCGTCTTTATTGAATGTCAGTTTCGACGAGGGAAAATGCCTCTGCACGGCAGTGAAAAGAGATCTGTACTAACTCGTGAAAATATTGTTGTGCCAAAAGCCAAATCAACAGACTCTGTGCTCCGCATTCATGGCCATCTTTGAGTCTTACGCACCTAGGGAAAACCTTATCAATCTGTCAAGGCTGTTCTTTGAACGGTCAAAATTAAAGAAACATTTATATTTTGGACAAGACGACCCTTTGACGAGTCCCTTGTACCAGATTCTACATCGATACTCTGGCAAGCCGCTGTTATTGCAAAATCTTCTCGATAGCGGGTGCCCGCCTGACTCCCGCTTTTTGTGGGAATTCGACCCTGTCTTTGGCGCGAAGGAAACTTCTGCATTGCTTTGGCTACTCTGTCAAGCCCAAGCAGACCAGCAGACTGATAAGCGTACAGTTGAAATCCTTTTGAAGCAAGGGGGTGGGTACAGCCCATTCTCACGACAACTTTGTTCCACTGACTGATGTCTATGCAATAGCGGATCCTAGTTTTCGGACACCTGGCTCGGGTAATAGTCCACTGATCGTAGCAGCCCTTTCATCTCAGCCAGATGTTACATTGCAACCCCTAGAGGCGCAAGCCAACGCGAACGTCGAGGATAAGTCTGGTAGGACCCCATTGCAATGCGCCACCAGAGTAGGAAAATTGGAGAGCATGGAACACCTGCTCAATTTCAAAGCGAATCCTGACGACGAGTCTCTGCACATTGCAGCAAGACGGACCAAGGCCTCAATGGCGAAAATGCTCCTTGATCGCGGCGCTTCAATAGATTGGCAAGGCATCCATATTTGCGATTATAGGACTCCACTGGGCGAGCTATGCCGCGATGCTAGTCCAGCTAGAGATCCAGCGCAGTTAAAGGACACTCTGAATGTTTTTGCCAAAAGGCAGCCTGACCTGAAAAAACTCGCGAACGGCAAATCCCTCGTGTTCCTAACCTTAGACAATGACTCGCCTTTCGCAATGACCACCGCACCCCTCAAAGCTTTTCGACTCATGCGAGAGAACCTCAACTCTGACTTCAACATCTTTCGCGAACTGGGCGGGGTCTGCTACAGCCTCACCATGTACGTCCGGCACTTCAAATGTAGGAACCGTTTCTCCCTCGACAGCGAACGTCGGTGTTGCAATCTTGACACTTGTCCCGCCCCAGACTTGGAGAAGCTCCTTCGAGAGTTCGGGTGCCGTGATCGATTCTGGGTTGAAACAGCCGGCGCCAATCAACCGCCAGGCGTCTGCGGTCCTCCGCCTCACGTCGTTGAAGAGCAGAAGCTTGTCGAGAGCCTACGCAAGGTGCAGGAGCAGCAAACACGCTTACTTGCAGAGGAAAGGGCACGGGCGAGAAGCAATTCAGGCCGATCTTGATATGGCGGCAGAAGCTGAACGAAGGCGAGAGAGGGAGCGCTTGGCTGTACTAGAAGAGAAACGACAGGCCGATGCGAACGAAGAATGGCGTCGCTTCGACATGCTGGAAGCAACAAGTCAGGCAGACGCCCGAGATGAAAGGCGCAGATTGGCGGCCATTCAAACCGAGCAGAATTCTGAGATGGAGAAAAAACGAAGGGAATTCTCGGACCAGCAGCATCGGGCACGGCGGGCAAGGGCCGAAGAGGAGAGAGCGTAAGAACGACATAGAAGCGGCAGCGATGGAGAGAAAAGCCAAAATCACAACTGGAGTGTTAAGGGAGAAGAAGAGAATGATCGATGGTGTGAACGAGATGGTGCAGCAAGCCCAAATCTCAGGTGTTGGGGGCCAGGCGGCTGGGAGGATATTGCGGAAAATTGGGGAGGGTGGGCGATGCCTGGAGTGAATTGAGTACAAATACGTATCATGACTTATGATCCTCAATGTCTGGTTCGAAGTCAGCAATAGTCCATTGTCTAGATCAGAGGAGTCGAGCCCCGGTGTATGCTTGGTCTCGTACCGCATTCTCGGTCTATGTTCTTGCTCGTTGACGCCATTACATGGTGGCTAGACACCAGATGTAAAGGCAATGTGTTCATGTTGTAGGCTTCAGAGGGCCACCATTATCTTCCACTACGGCCCGCATGGCATCAAACATACGACGTGAAAGAAACCATTGCATGTTGAATGTTGAGAATAAGCAGCTTCAAGATGGGGCGACAGCTATTTCAGCTACCATCTCTCCAACGACAAATGTGGACGAAGCCAACTAGAGGGTGCAACGCAACGCAGCGGACACGGACAGCCAGACCAGCATTCGCCAAACGCGTCAGAGACTTCTGAATTCCACTCCATCAGGAGAAGCTGGGTCTCGTTGATAGGCGTTGGAAACGTTCCCCACCTGATGTTATTGAGGCGAGGAAAGATGAAATGAAGGTCGAAAGGAAGGAGCGTCAACAACAGGGGTGTCGGAGTTCGCCAAGACCTGGGAGTCTAAAATTTAGCGTGCGGCTAGGGCGTTTGAGCATTGACCCCTTCCTCACGACAGCGGTCTCATCTTTTTCTTCGCCTCACACCATCTCCCACTATCATATCATGGCAAGTCATTCAATTTTCAAAATCTATGACAAAATATTCGCCCCCCCGTCTCAAGCATTACTCGACGATTTTATTATCTTGGAGGCATGGTCACGACTGATCGATCCCATCTCCTAGAATGTTGGACCGTACGTCACAATCACGATGCTGACACTTGCATTGTTCGAGCTATGCGTCGAGCACGATTACCATCTTACTATGTTGCAACACCTGGTGTGGCGGTCACCGCTTGTCACCAAAGCAGCTATTGGCCCTCCCACGGACGAAGCTGGCCTTCTGTTGGGTATGGCAGCGCAACTACACAATCTTGTCCACTGCCTCCTTCCAATCGCTTCCCTTTGCGATCTTCTGTCCTTTCTGGATGATTCGCCATCCCGCTTTCTTGTATTCGTGCGCAGGTCTCTGGGGGTATTATAAACGTGTCGATGTGGATGTGAAACTTTCAACCATCATGTACGCCTGGCATGGTCCGACTTTCTCGGATCTCGACCCAATTCGGGAATTTGCGGCCACAACGGAGATGAAAGCCCTTGGTAATATTCTCTACTATTATGAGTATCAAGCTTTTTTTGCCTCCCCGGCACATGTTTGCGAGGTGTGGTCGAATCGAAACTGCGGAACGTTCAGACGCTGTGCAGAGTGCGCCCAACCGTTCCTTTTTTGGTGTGCTTGGTCTGCATCAATTGTCCCCAAAGAGGATCCTAGATCCGAACCTTTGATGCCGTCACGTCGCTGTCCTTTCCTACAGAATGCTTGACACGATTTTCTCTCCAATTAGCAGGTCTGCCCAGACCATGAAAGGCCGGCAATCGCCATGAGTATGGACCGGTCACTGTTACGAGCTTACTGATGACTACTGTCCGATCACGCCGTTAGCTCTACGCCTTCGATGAGCCAGGGCACGGTGCTCGAATGGTATTGGGCGATCTTGAGCCTAAGCTTCTCCTAGTATGTCATGTAAGGGGTCTCCCGTCGTCGCAGATCAGCGCGATATTAGTGCAATGGGAATGGTATCTGCGGCTCTCTTGTTTACGTCCTAATTTTCCCTACGTGCTGGGACGTATATCGGCATTGCTGTTCCATTGAGCATGGCAAGATATATCAAGATGAACACTCCCTATGTAGCAGGTTTTTTCTGCTAGAGTAGACCGATGTTGCCTGAAAGGTGCTTCGATACAGGCCGTGATTTCCAGGTGCAACATAGCGTTACACTGGCTTGACGGTCAAGTTCGAAGAGCTTGCCCCGGAAGACTGATTATAGCGGCTCAATAGGACAAGACCGGAGCCATGAGCCGAATGATCGCAAGGGCTTCCCATTCAGGGTGTATGGCGTCGATATTTTCAGGTTTCAGAATTCGAAAAATCCGCCTCGAGACATGCGGTTGCGGCGTGTGCGTCTAGTCTACCTACTTTAGGCCTCCCGAACGCGGGCCTTCCACCACAAAGCTTAGTCCCATCATGAATATTACTCACCAACACCACCGGCCATCATTGACTTGCCCATATCGGTTTCGGCGAAAAGATGGCTCACACTACGACGCAGGTCCAGTTTCACGAGAGCGATGTGATGACGCGGTGTAAGAGACTTCGGCCTATTCGTGTGCGGCGCCCTCTCTCTCGTCTACTATTAAGGGACCTGCCCATCAATAAGTACCCTCTCTTTCCTCTCCACCTTGATACTTCTCTATATCTGCTGCAGGACTCCAGACTCTCAGCATCACAACGTCATAGCATTACCGTTGTACTCTCTGTGCTTCTTTCCACTTCTTCTGACATGCGTATCTCAACCCTCTTCACGGCCGCTTCCCTCTTCTTGATCGGCTCCTACAGCCTGCCTCGACCCGAGAACTTAGAGCCGTCAAGGACGATCGAGGACCGCGAGGCCCACGTGTAAGTGCTCCAGCGCCAGAAAATCCCTGTCCGTTTGGGCAAGACCACCAAGCTAACATTAGACAGTGCCCCAGGTGCTCCATTTGCCAGCCATATTGGAGGCGCGGAGTGGTGGAAAGATCGCAAGTCGGGCGGTGAAACCCCGGCTTCGAATGGCACGAAGTTAAAGGAACGTGAGGCACATCACGAGTATGTGTATCTTCCATATCACGCATGAGTTCGTCAAGCTCATGCCACATAGGAGGCCAATCAGCGAACCTAGCGGACTACCCGAGTTCTTCGAACATAGAGTTGGTGGCTCCGGCACTCCGAGCACCAATGAAACCAAAATCAAGGAACGTGAGGCACATCACGAGTATGTGTATCTTCCATATCACGCATGGGGTCGTCAAGCTCATGCCAAATAGGAGGCCAATCAGCGAACCTAGCGGACTACCCGAGTCCTTCAAACACAGAGTTGGTGGCTCCGGTACTCCGAGCACCAATGATACCAAAATCAAGGAACGTGAGGCACATCACGAGTATGTGTATCTTCTATATCACGCATGGGGTTGTCAAGCTCATGCCAAATAGGAGGCCAACCAGCGAACCTAGCGGATTACCCGAGTTCTTCGAACACAGAGTAGGTGGCTCCAACACCCCGAGCACCAACGGTACCAAAATCAAGGAACGTGAAGCACCACCGGATGGCATGACGTATGCTTCCCATCCCTGAATTCCAATCAACAAACCTTTGCTAATGTCAAGCAGATGGATGGAATTCATGAAGCACAAGAAGCACAAGGGCGGATCTCCGTCTCATGGTGCCTTTGTGCCTTTGAGCACTGGTACTCCATCCAAGGAACTTTCTCGATTATCCACCAGCGGCACTGAGACTGGTGGGACTAACAGCACGAAAGTGAGGATGATGAAGTTCCGCGGTTAGGTCGTTGCTATCGCCGACGATGACGGATGAACTAGAGATATTTGCATGAAAGCTTGAGGAGAGGGAGTCGCTGCGTTGGTATTCCCGGAGTGTATAATACTGTGTATGGTGCAGGAAACCTAAAATATGGCGGGAGAGGTTGTTGATAGATAGCGTTCATTGTAATAGTGGTCATTCACAACCCACACATTTGAACTCCTCTCATTCCGTTGGCATGATTTACTGTGCGGTGCTCGGTGTTTGGTGAGGCACCAAAGATGGTGGAGGAGGCAAAGCAGAGTTGGTGGTTCCGTTAGTGGCCTCGCAAGCTACTCCTTTTTGCAAAACCATTTGCGGGAGCGCCCGTTTGACAGCCACCCCATCAAATTTTCGCCATAACCACCGCTAAATATGCGTAAGAGGTATTTCGTATTATATAGATATAGAATTATATTTAAGTAGCTATTTAAATAGTCGTTAGAGTAATTACTATAGCTATTATAAGTAGATTATAAATAATTATTATTTAAAAATCGAGTAGAATCTTTAGATATTAGATTATAAAAAAAAAATAGTAATAATAAAGCTTTATAATTATATTTCCTATATATAGCGTATCGAATAACTAGACTATATTAGAAATACGTTATTAAATAACTTATTAATAAATCTTTATATACGAGATTAATTTATAAAAATATAATATAATAATAAAATATATTTTATAATATAATTTTATCGAATTATTTTTTACTAATTTATATTATTTATAATAATTCTAATTTAAATAATATTAAATAGAAAGAGAAAGGATTAATAAAATAATATATTATAAAGATAAGAAGATAGCTAGATAAAGAGAAATTAGTTTAATTAAATTATAAAAGTAATAATAATAAAAAACTTAGTAATTAAGATCTTAAAAGAGATTAAAATACGCTATATCTAAGAATTAATTAGATTAAAGTTTAATTATTAATATATCTATAAAGTTCTTATTATCGCTATTATTATATTACTATTAATTTTAAAATTTATTCGCGCTTTTATTTAGAAGAAATTTAAATAAAATTATAATAATATTATTATTTTAACTAATTTATATAATATAAATATATAAATTTTATAAAGTATAAGATCTTATTAGCGCGAATATAGTATTATTTTTATTTCGAATAATAGTTCTAGCGAATACTTTAGAGTTATAAATTAATATATTAAAAAATAGTTATTTATATATCTTAAAGAGCGCTTTATATTATATCTAAATAAGTTAATATATATACTTTTTAATAAATTTAATCTTATTATTAATAAGAGTATTATTTAAAGAATTTTATAATATTTTAATTAGTTTTATAAGTAAATAAGAAGAATAGTTAATTAATATAATATCTTTTTATATATTAGCTAGTTTACTATATTAACTAATTAACGAGTTAATTAACTAATTTTTTTAGATAAATTAATAATTTATAAACGAATTAATAAATATTCTCTTATCTTTTATATTAATTAAATATTAAATTTAATAAACGATAGAAAGTATAATTAAACGCTTTTAGATATAAGATTATAAATTAATAAAGAGTTTAAGCGATTAAAGAGATAAAGTTTACTATCGATATTTATTATATAAGATTATTTATTATAGATTATTCTCTAAAGCTTTATTATATAAGAGATTTTTATTAATTTTATATAAGATTATATTCTTTCTTATTACGATAGCTTTAATAGAAGTAAGTCTTTTTTAGTTATTATATATAATAATATCTCGATATATTACTATTCTAAGTTTATTTATATATATTACGATATAAGCGTCTTATTAAAGTATTTATTCTTATACTCGCCTAATTTTAATTTAATTAAAATCTTATTTTTAGTTTTTAAGATGTAAATTAAGAGATATTAAGATCTAACTATTTTATATTTTAATAATAAATAATATAATAATTTTCTAAATCTAGCTATCTAGATATAGAAGAATAGATATAATATAAATAATCTCTTTCGAAAAAGTAATATATTTTATAGATCGTAGAATAAAATAAATATAGTAAAAGAATAATCTAATAATAAGAATTTAGCTATTTATATTATATAATCTTTTTTATTATTAAATAATATCTTATCTTAATTTAATTTACTTTTAAATTCTTTCTTCTTTTATAGCTATATATTAAAGTCTTTAATCTTAATAATAATTATAATATATTTTATTATAGAGATTAAAGATATATAAGTATATAATAAGATATAAATAAGCTATTTTCTACGCTTAAACGTCTTTATATTATTAATTAAGTTATATCTAATATTTAATTTAATACTTAATTTCTTTTATTTATACTCGAATCGATCGTCTTTTTATTTCTAAATATAATAAGACTTATTCGATAATTATCGAGCCGAGGTAATATTTTAGCTTTAAAAATCGCGTCTTTTAAGAACGCGACTTTTTTATATTCTTTTTTACTATTCTATTAAATATAGTTTAATATAATTAAAATTACTATTCTATTTTAGTCTAATAAGAATAAATTATATAAAATCTAGAAACGTTAAAAAAAAGAGGTTATAATCGAGATAAGAAAGGAAAAACTTAAGTAATATAATATTCTTCTTTGATATATATCTATATTATCTAAGTATTAATTATTATAAATTAAATATTATATACTCGTTAATTACTTTTCAAATAACTTTATAATTCTCTTATATCTAGTATTTAGTTTTATATAAATTACTACTATCTAAGATATACTTTATAAAAATATAAATTTATATACTTCTCGACAGAGTTCTTTAGATTCTTATTAAAAATCTACTTATATTTCGAAACTAAAAATCTTCGTCGCTATTATAATCTATATAAAAATCTATCGCTTTTCTACTATTTATAATTATTAGAGGATTAATAATATTACTTTAATATCTTCGATTCTTATTAGCGAAATAGCACGAGATCGCTATATACTTTTTCGAAGAATAATTTATTATTTAAATTCTAACGAAGAGAATTCTTTTATTATTAAAAAAAATAGATATTAGAAGTCTATATAATATAAGAAGATACTTTTATTTATCGATAAGATATAAAGTAATTAAAAGAAATTACGTACTTTAAATAATTACTATATAATTAATAAATATATAATTAAAAAGATAGAATATATTTATTATTTTATTATAGCTTTAGATAAATTAATTAAGAAGAGATATAAGATTTTTATAATTAATAATAAGAGTTATCTTTATAATTATATATAATATTTATCTAAATAAGACCTTAAGAGTAGATTTAAAGTTAAATATCTCGGAGATATAAGCGCTATAATCTTTAAATTAATTATTAATATATTATTCTCTAACTTTATTCTCTTTATAGATAATTATTTTACTAAATTAAAGCTAATTAATAAGCTAAAGATCGTAAAAATAGCTATATATAAAACTATAAAATTAAATTAAATAAATCTTTTAGAATTACTTATAGAGATAAAATAGCGATTTACTAAGAATATTTTATATAATATTCTTACTATAGTAATTTAGAACGATATTCTTATAATAGCCTAGTAAGATAATAATCTTATTTTAACTCTTATTACTATCTACGATATTAGAGAGATTAATAATACTATTATTAAAAAGAGAAAGCGTTTTAATAGAATAAATACTAATAATCGTATTATCTTATCTACTTTTAAAGAGAATAGAAATAATATCTAATAAAAGGATTTCGATATTTCGAAGATCTTTTTCTACTATAATAGATATATAAAAAAGATTAATCGATTTAATATATTAATAACTGTGAGATAGTAAGGCCTCTTTTAATAAAACTACGTAATAGCTATGTAATTACGAGATCTAGATGCGTAGTTAATAGAATAAATAAATAAATTATTAGATAAACTAATAATTAAAGAAAAAAGAAGGGGAAAGAGAATTTATAAGTATTTAAGACTTTATTAAGTATATTAAATACTCGTCTTAGCTGCGTAGCTTATAGCCTAATAAGTAATATAAGCGAGCCTATTAATTCGCTTCGAGTACTTTTATCCTTATAACTATATCTCTCCTTAGAAGATTTAATCTCTAAATCTTATTATTATTATATTTTATAATTGAATACTTATAGACTTATTAGTTTCTTATATATTATCTATTATTAGTTTAAATATAGCCTAAACTAACGTATACTATAATGGCGTATTTAGACTTTTTGCCTTAAGATCTCTTTGAATATATTAATATATTTATATATTAAATCGCGATAGTATCGCTATGCGTATTATTGTCTTAATTAATAGAATATAAATATATTGCTATCTTATTGCGATATGCTATTATTACTATTATTATACGCTATTATTATTATTATTACTTTAATAATCGTAGTAATTTTATTATTATAATCGTGAAAGTCGCGCTAGTAAGTATAAAAGTCTTATTTTTAATTTAACTTTTATTCTTCTTAATAATAATATTAACGTTAACGCTATTATAAGTAAGTATCTAGTTTTTCTTTATATCTACTATCTTATTTTTATTTATTTTTATTATAATATCGCGATAGCGAGCTACGTATTATTATAATAGTATAATATATATATTAATTAAGATAATAGTTGAGTAAGATTAAAGTTATTTAAATTAATTTTATATATAATAAGTATCTTAAAGAATACTTTACGATACTTTTTAAATAGTATAAGGAGTATATTAATATATTGATAGTGGTATTAAATCTTCGCTCTTATAGCCCTACGGGTTATTAAGTACTCGTGGCTATCGTTGTTTCTACGCCCTCCGCTGTAGCTGATAAGCATTTATATCTGTTTTGAAGACGTGCTTAGCTAAGAAGGCTTGATAGCTCCCCCTATCGCTGTTTATATACTAGTCCCCTTTTACTATCGTTATGTGCGTACCCTCGCATATAACTCTCATACGATTTATACCGCGTCTTCTACTAGCTCGCGCTAGCGTAAGTATGGGCGGTGCTCTCGCGG